TCTCAGTGGGTAATAGCCCATTTTTTCTCCCTTGGTAAGGGTTTTAAAATATAAAACTGTTTTTTTCTAGTCTTAACCTGACAGTTTCATTCCAACGTCTCCTGGAAGGCGTAGACCATATACAAGAATCCATCTTCATCCTTGTCACTTTCGTATACTTCAGAGATGGGCTTGAACGTGCTATGTTCATCATCCTGTGTCCATACACTAGGAGGAAGGCTTGATTAATATTAATCTGTAGATGCCTTCTAATTATCTAGATGAGTTCACTCATGTTGACATGATTAGGTACCAGAAGGTGCAATGCTGCTTAAAGGTCTTCTCCATTGCTTGAAGGTCTTCTCTGACCACATGGTGCAGGAGCTGGGCCGAGATGGCCGGGTGGAGAGTCCTGATGGCTCCCAGAATAACAGCAGCTTCGACTCCAGACTTCACTGTTTTAATACAGTCTTATGCATATATGATATTTCAGTAAGAAAAATTAAATCTTGCAAAATCCAGACATAACAAAAGTGAATCCCAATTTTTTTTTTTTTGCAAAAAATCAGGCATAATTATAAAGTTAATGAAATGACTAAAGTGAGCCTTTATAGTTGGCCAGCGAAAAAGTGTAAGGTCTAGCAGTGTGATCCAAATCTATCTTGATTCTAGCCACTAGTTGTTGTCTTTTGGTTTAGGCATATGTAGGGACAATCTTGGGCCCTCCAGTTAGAATTAGGACTTCGAGTTTATCCATACGTACATTTCTAACTTTTAGAAGTAAAGTTGATAGCAGCCTTTACCGTGCAAAATACTGTCTTCTGTAATACCTTAACTTGCAGTTTTGAGATTTGAACAGCTCTGAAAAATATCAAGATTTAAAAAGAAAATAAATAATGGGACCAGCAGGTGGCGTGGTGGTTAAGGATGCCAGACTCCCACATAGCTGAGTGCAGTTCAAGTCCCAGGCCCCCTCCCCTCCCCACCCTCTTCCTTTCTGGTCAGACTTAAATAGAGTTAAACAAAATTGTTTTTAAAAAGGAAACTTTTAAAAAATTAATTTAAAATTTAAAAAAAAATCTCTTTGCAAGCAATCCTGATCTGAAGTAACATGAGGCTGTATGTAATGGTTATTATTCACATTATTCATATTTCCCTCAACAAAGACAATATGTTCAATTATGGAATGTTGCCCAGACCCTTTGAGAGGATTTTGTGACATATGATCAAAGTGTTAATATGACCTCTGTAAAATCTGAAAAATTCTAAATTGCAGAACATATTTCATCCCAAGCATTTTAAATAAGATATAATTGGTATATATTGACCAACTCCCCTGTGAAAAAATACTCATTTTCCTGTACCCTCAGTAAAATTTGGTGAATCATTAATATGTGAAAATAGCCAGGGGTTTTAGATATTATTAACCTTAGAATTTGTAGTAGCAAAACTTAGATTTATAGTATAACTATTCAGTTCTGGAAGAGCCAAAGTCTTACTCTGCCTCTGCACCTGCTTTAGTTACTTCCATAGCTAGCTTGACTGGAAATTTGACAGTCAATATCAAGTTAGCAGTTGGCATAATGGTATAGGCAGGAAGTACATTGTGATTTCTTTAACATATGTGTTGTTTTGTAAGAAAAATATTAGTTTTGATGATATGTCAAAATCACTTAATTTTTTTTTAAAGAGGTTTTTGCTCTAGGACGCGTGCGCTCACCAGAAAGAAAGAGACAGAGAGATAGAAAGCAAGAAATCACCCCCCAGGGGGGATGGCCATGCCACAATCCCTTCTCCACTCTCCTCGGGATCTTGGGCATGCACGCACACGTGCCCGGCATGAGTTTAAGCCACTGGGTCCAGGATTTGAACCGCGGTCGGCTACATGGGAGTCCAGAGACATAGCCATTTCGTTAACTGCTGGTCCTGTACATCACTTGAGATTCTTATGGGAACTAAGGATCATCTAATAAAAAAAGGTGGCATTATATTAACAGTAGCATTCTATTCGGGTGTTCTCTCTTCTTGATTGGTAATTCCTTTGGTATATGCTGTAAATACTGACTTCTAAATAACATATTTAAAGTTAAACTGTAATACAGCTGTTTTTTGGATTAATGCAGTATGGCCAACACTTAGGGATTTTTGTTGTTTTTATTTTTTCTCTTGAGTTGTTTATTACTTGTTCAAAGATTATTTGTTAAAGTAAGCCAGTCTTCCTAATTTGGAATGCCATGTTTATCATATCTATCTTCTTAGGTTTACTAAGGTTTATTGTAGGTTTTTAAAATAGTAACATATTTGATAAGAATCTTGAAAAAACTTGCCTTTTCTCCCCTTCAAATATCTTGGTAATTTTTTACATTCTTCTAGAGACATCTCCTGCAAATAGGGTGTGCATTGCATTTGTTCGTATTGAACTTATATATTTAGAGAACATTCATATTTTATAATATGGAGTTTTCTATATAGGAGCTTGTATCCATTTAATTATTCCTTTTTCTTTTTCTTTTTTTTTTTAATTTCCTATTAAGAAAACCAGTTTTAACTTAAATCAAAGAAATACCAAGGAACTTTGCTTAAAGCCAGGAAACAGGTTGGGATTCTGTTCAAATGGTAGGTGCATGAACCTATCAGTCTTGTGTACTTTTATCTTCTGTTCTGGTTCAATTTTCCTGATTAAATTCTGGGATATAATATTCAACACCAGACTTGTCCCTATGATTAAGTTGGCCACTTTCTTACTTTTCGAACTCTTATTTCTGTGTGTCTGAATTTAATTTTCCTGACATAGCACACCATTGAGAACTTCTTAGAGATCTGGTCTGGTGCTGGTAAATTCTTTCAGGTTTTGTTTATCTGAGAATGTTCTTGTCTTTTCTTCCCACCTGAAAAATAAC